CTTCACCTCCGACTTGTCACCACTTCAATCGGCACTTAAGGAGCCTGTGACAAAGAAAGCATTATTTTATGGACACCACAAAAAAAAAAATTAGATTGATTTGAGTAAGGTCAAACTGCTTAAAACTTAAAATCACAAACGTTATTCTGTATTACAAAAACATTTATTTATTTTCAGCATTGCTGAGCTTTAAGTCTTAAGACTTCCAGTTTAAAGAATGTTTTGCATTTTCACCAGAATGTTTGTGGGCATTGAGAAATAAAATCAAAGATCTGAAGAGCTGACCTGAAACTGCTCACAGAATGAAATTGCTTCACTGGATGTTTCCTGGGGAGGTTGTAGTTTCTCCTTTGGACATCAAAGTAACCGTCGGCGGGGCGGCGGGGCGGGGGATGACCCAGCAGGTCGTTCGGTTTGGGGCGCTGCCCAGGAGAACTGCCGCAGCCCAGAGACGCGCGCGCTTCTGCAAGCGCGGGCCCTCCCACGCCGGTTCGAAGGGAACGCGACCGCACGGGGCGCGGGCCGGGCGGCCTTGGATGGCGCCTACCCGCGATGTTACTGGCCTACAGCGGACACAGAAACATACACACAGTACAGTAGGATACCTCACTGCGATTCTGGCAGCAAGGAAAAGAAAACCACCGCTATTATTATTCGTGCTTACAGATAGGGTAAAGGATTGGAAACTTGGGACGGCTCGCTGGCCAGTGTCTTGCCTTGACCCACACACATCCAGCTCAAGAGGACACACAGGTGTCCATGTCCACATCGTGGAATGTGCCCAAGATGGACCCCCATGGACTGGACTGAGGCTACAGGCCCTCAGGCGAGCTCTGTCTGTTAAAAAGAACCGTCTCCAGAATCTAATCGCGCGTTTGCCGTTTCGCCACCCATACCACCACAAGCACGCAACGAGCTCCTAGTTGGGCGCGTGTCTTCCTGTGTTGTAGTCAATCATTCTACAGAACCCTGTGTAGCCGCGAAGCAATTTTCCTTTGGTTGACCCCCCATGCTTCCTATTCATTTATAAACTGAGGCGGGGGCCGGGGGGCGCGGGCGGGGGCGGGCGGCGCGGGCGGGGGGACGTGCCAGAGGGATTCACAGATTGGGTTTTTTAGATCCAAGTCAGGGTCACAGCAGGATCATACTTCGGACTAGCCTATTTTGGTCTCTTGTCGCTTGATGGTGTTAGCAGTTCCTTTAAGGTGATAATGACAGGAAAGGGGTGGGTGAACGCGAGCAAGAGCGCTCGACGGAGGGTCAGTTCGAACCCTGGCCGTGGGCTGGGCCAGCGAAAGGTCCTTCCAGCCGTATACCCCTGCCTTTTTTGAAGAGTGAGTTTTTTTGTGTGGTTTGTCTCTTCTCCTTTTTTCTCGCGTGAAGCACAGACCTTGTTTATCGTCCGCGTAAACAAACCAAAAAGACTGAGTTACGGAATTCACCGAAGCAATTTGAACCATTAAACTTTAAGTTTCCTTTAAATTTTCCTCAAGTAAATTTTCAAACATACATTTTTTTGCGATATTGCCACCAACTCGATACATATTTTGGTATCTGCTTGAAATCAAGGCCTATCACGCAGCAATGACAAACCACCACATGGTGGAAGAGGAACTTTTCTTTTTTTTGGTTCACAACCTCTTTATTTGCATTGTGGCAGTTTCTGTACTTGTTCAGGCAAAGACATTACATGTTTTTCTTACCTTAACTTTTTCAAAATTGGCAAAAATATCCTTGAAAAACCACTTCACTGATCGACGGCAGGCATTTTGGATCTCTCAATTGAAGGCCCTCTGGTGCATGAATTACTGATCCCTGGTGGATTATCCATGCACTGTATGTGTCTGATTTTATACATCAGGTTTTTCAGGAAAAACAATATCACATTGAAGATGTAGAGGTTTCTAAAACTATTCGAGTACTATTCGATGCGAGGCAGTTGAGCGGAGTGGCGAGTGGTGGTGAACATTGAAGACAAGTTCACCGAGGAGCAGAGTAAGGAGCCAGAAGAGAGACACAACAAGATACGGGGAGCACACAGAAGCCAGAGGAAACACAAGGTGGGGGAAATACAAGAAAACACAAGGGAAAATACAAGGGTACAGCTGTGGCCATGACATAATTCCCACCGTGTCTCATCTTTTGTTGTTATGATTGTTTTCATCATACAATACAGCTGGATAATTTAACCTTTAAATTTTGTATCTTTTTAATTGTTTAAAATTAGACCTACTGTAGCTTCATCTGTCAACATTATTCCTGTTATTTTTGATAGTTTGACCCTTTTAATCATCAGGGAGAAGTTGGTAGGAGAAGAATGGAGATATGGTCTGATGGAGATGTGGACATGCCGGTGGAATTTAAGTAAAACAGTCCTGAGGTCTGTTTGATTAAAATCACCATCTACAATAAAAAATACCATCCAGTAGTTTTGTCATGTGACCGCTGATGATCTCATACAGTTCTTGTGAGGCGATGAAGGCGAAACTCCTCTGGAGGCCAGCAGCAAATCTAGTTGATGTATGAAGTAACCGCAGCAGTGCCCTGTAAACACTGTGTGATGTTTGATTTTGCCATATAAACAGTGATTATCCTGATTAGGCCATTTTCCAGTAAACAAACCTGTGCGGACTCTGTGGTCATCCTCAAACAACGATGGTGGGATACAACACAAAAAAGTGCAACACCCACACATGTGCTGTAAAGGCCAAGGACAAGAGAATCAATGACCAAAAAAACAGCAATGTAAAATGTGCACATGTTGGACAGAGAAAACACAGGGTTTGAAAGTGAAGGAAGCTAAATATGAACAAACTCACTCAACAGAGTAAGCCATGTTCATGCTTGACGAGTCCTACCATAAATACCTACGGCATAGGTTTGGATTTTTAGCACCTGCAACACTATACTATGCACATACAACCCAAAACCATGGCAGATGCAGCCTGAATGTATGTGTTCAAATTAGACCTGCTGTAGCTTCATCTGTCATTACTATTCCTGTTATTTCTGATGGTTTGACCCTTTTAATCAGCTGGGAGTAAGTTGGCAGGAGAAGAATGGAGATATGCTACGAGATATATACGGTCATTGTCTTCACTATCAACAATTTCCACTCTGCCATCAGAGTTCAGTTCAGAAAACACAAACAGCCAATCACAGTTCTTGTTTTTATTATTTAATCCCAATAGTGGAGAGATGACAGAAAAGAAGTGAGAGAGAGATGCATGAATGAATTGTACCAGAACTTTCTTCATTTGGCGATATGAATTCAATTAGATGATGTTCTGAAGTTTAGAGAATTTATGCAGTAGCTAATCTCAGCTGTCAGAGAACATTTACAAGATGTATGGCAGACGTTTTACAAGATGTATGTGAGACGTGCTCGACACAGGTTAAAATGTATCTACTATAAGGGAGAGTTTCTTCCAGCAAAACTTTCAAGATAAGTTACAGTCATGTCACTGGTTGTAGCTGTGAGCCGCTTATGGGTTGAAAAGCCCCTATATTGGCTACCTGAAGCTAGACGTTGAGGTGCTTAGTAAAATGATGCCCAGACGAGGTGTGCTGGTAGTAAGATACCTCCCTGAGCAGATAAGGTAAGAATAGGTTCCAGGTATTTTGGGTATGAACATTATTAAGGGTTGTTACCACAAGCTCTTGGTTAGTTGTTTGACCTCCCTGCAGTAGTAGAAGCCCCCGAGCCATGGCAGTGAGCCCTTCAGATGTGTCATCAGGCTGAAGTCCAACATACAACAAAGGTCCCTGGCTAAAGATGAACTGGGGATGTTGCAATATCTTAACCCATAGGTTACCAAGGTGTATGAAGTGGGCTTAAATCATGATCTGGGTGAATACTCAATTCTGATTGGCTGCTGGGTGTCCATTAAGTAAGAGATGATGCCCAACAAGGTGTCCATGGAATTAATGGACCATGTGGAGGCCAAAACGTCAACAACGTCCATTAATTGTTGATAATGGACACCTCGTCTGGCATTATCCTTTACATAGAGGACACCTACTATATAGCTCCAGTGAAATTGTCTGTTCACCATTCAAAATAATGTGCTGAAATAAATTGAATGGAAACAAAATATAGCTAAATATTTCATTAATGTATCTTACTACAACGAGTGTATTCCTCCAGTGCCTCATCTTCTAAGCACTACAGGATGGTGACTGTAACATATAAGCCACTACTGCCCCACATCCCATTCACTACTTCACTACACTGTCGCTACTTCAGGCTGCGGTCGTCAGTACACATGCTTGACTTTACTTTACTTAACAATTGCACTCTGTCTCATAGCTGAGCCAAAGCGCTCTGATTCTCCCATTGCCAAGTCATATCAATGGTTCCTTCAATTTACTGGGGAACGTTTTATTGCAATAAAACCTTGTGGGATGGTAATGATTCTTCCAGGTATTAAGAACCAGGGAAGGGTTATGGCTTGTAAAAGCATGAAAATATAAAACTCTTAAGCAATACCTGCTTATCCTTCAGAAGGTTGTGTGTTGCTAAAGCTGAGCCAAACTGTCACTGTGCGAGAGGCAGTGTACAACCTGGACAGATGGCCAGTTAATCAAAGTGCTAACACATAAATAAAGGCATCCATTCACACTCACATTCATACCTTTACAGCCCCTGGAGAAAACCCAGGCAGGCACAGGGAGAACATATAAACTCTACACAGGAAAGCTGGCAGGTTGGATCCCACAACCTTCTTGCTGTGAGACAACAGCGCACGGCCTATGTGATTTTAAAATACCACAGCCTAAATAACATACCATCTTCCAATCAGCAAAATCTGATGTACATTATATAAAACGGTACTTAAATGAATGACTCCTAAGAAAGCCGAAAGAACACTTGTTGTTTTCTTGAACGTAATTCGACTTTCCTCATTAATCTGTCCTGCACAACTTCTGGTCAGTGGATGAAAAACAACATACAACAATACATAAATAAACTGCAGAGAGAAGAAACACTGGAAAAACAGTTAAGTGGGACAATTTATTTTATTGTCCAATAATTTCTCTTAAAAGCAAAGACATGTTAACTGTTTGTGTAAGTTTACATAAACTAATGGAGTTACACAGGGTACATAAAATGTATCTGTAATAAAATGCAGGGATTTTTGAAATTATACTGGAATCAGTGATGAACCGAGGACTGACCACATGACACTCTTCAAGCTGCAAAAGAAAGAATAAAAGAATAATTCACTTACAGTCAGTTGTTTAGTTAATTTACAAAACTGGCTCATTTAAGTCTTTTTGGACATTAAATGGCTCTTGTAATAAACGTGGTCATGCTTGTGTGTGTTATTACAGATTGTTACCTGCAACACAAGGGAAGACATATTCTGTTTCAGCCTGGTCACCTAAGGATAAAGTAAGAAGTAGAATAGAGATAAAAGAGAAAAAACAAAAAAAGTCAAACTTTCTTCATGTGTTCAACAGTCTAACATATTAAAAAATGGAGTACTTTGGAATTAGAACTCTGATAACTTTCAGTTTGTTTGTACAACTCGACTAGGGAGTTTGTCAGTGTGTGCTATGATATCTGTAAAAGGAATTAGGGTTCACTTGGCTGGTAGTAGTCAATAGATCTTGACCAACGGCTGGCTTTTCAGCGTTTCTGCACTGGCAAGCCTCGCTGTATGAGCTCTAAGCTGTGGTTGATGGGTACTGTCCTTTTGATAACTGTTGGAAGGAAACAAGACGACGGCCAACTCAGTAATGAATCTGGAAGAGCATCATTTATTGTTCCTCCAGTGTGAAATTCCTCTCCCACACATCTGTATGTAAGCAACAAGAACATCGGTCTTCTTTTGTTCATACGCGATCCACCAGCAGAGCACCTCTTGAGCTGGTGAGGGACCATATTCAGTTGGCGTCATTTCCACCAAAAACAGATGAAACTATCCACTTTCTACTCAGGTTGACTTTACTGTAACTAACTCACCCTCTTCACAAAGCACTCTTGGGTCACCTGGGACAAATCCAGAGACGCATTTCTGACTATCCAGGATCACGGGCCCATGTTTGACTTTGTGCCCCTCCCCTTTCTCTATATCTGCTACATCCACGCCAGACCATAAAGCACACTGTAATTTCACTAGATAGATTTGCACTATTTTCAGAATTTCAGAGCCAACCATATTGAATAATATACCAGTTTAATAATACAGTTTCTTTTTTAATATCGTCAAACTGTCAGCACATTCCATTTCCGAATCTCTCCATGTCCAAGGAAGGCACAACGCGGTGACACTGGAGACAGGGCTCCCATAGCTCACTGACGGCCACGTCGGTGAGCTGTGTGGTTCGTGATCCAACCAGACGAGCCTACTGTAGCTCAAACTGCTGAAAAGTTAATGCTGGTTCTGAATAGAAAGGTGTAGAACCAGTGCATCAAGTTTGTTGGTATGCCAGGCTGCATAACATTGTACACGACAGGGTGCCAAGTGCTTAGATGTTAGACTGGATCTGTATGTAACTTAATTACACTCAGTCAACTTCTTACCACAGCTTCATATTACACTTGTTACAGATATCCTACAACCTCAATCTATCAATTTTATTTAATTTAGTCAATATAATACATTATGTTTTGAATTAATTAATGATATCTAATTCAGTCACTTAAACCAGTCAAAATGTTAATTAGTCGAACATTTACATTCTCACACTCTCCAAACTGCTTATTCGTTGATGCTCAACTCATAAAAAATTTACTAGCACTCGGATTAATCTATCAGATGTTCTACAACGCGTTTCTTAAATTGACAGATTGATAAATGGCAAATTTCGGAGATGCTGAAATTATACTTCTGACGGAGTAAAATGTATAAGGCTACATTTGATATCCACAATTACTTTTGTAAGATACATTAAATTTCACATTGTGGGCTATCAAAGAAAGGTCACAAATCTTACCATGACAGGTCATTGATTGCTCAACTAGACCCATCGTCATCTGAAGATATCTTCGACGGTACAATCCCCCCCCCCCCAAAAGAAAGAATGCCTCCAACTTAGGCAATAATAGCAACAAGCATTTGTTGTATTATGTCAGAGATACCAGCCAAAACTGTCAATTGTACTGACTCCTTCAATGAGGTTCATATCATTGACAGTCATTATACGTGAGCCCAGAGCCTTTTGGTCTGTGAAGGTAGTAGAACGGTTGAAGACGAAGAAAAGAGTCCAGACCTGCGTCAGTGCTCCGCTCTCCTCCGGTCGGCTCAAGAAAAATGCTCCGGAAACACCCAAAGCCGCCCAGACCGGCAACTGGCACGCGTCAGCGGTTCTGGGACACCGCGCCCGGCGTACATACTCCCCCATAAACACATCAGGCGCGC